CTCTCTCGTGTGTGTGTGTGTGTGTGTGTGTGTGTGTGTGTGTGTATGTGTGTGTGTGTGTGAGTTACTGCGAGGGGCCCCGTCGCGCGTCGCGCCTTCCCTCGGTTGAGGTTCCCGGGCCCGCGCCGCGCCGGTACCCGGTCCGCTTGTGTGTTGCCCGCTTGCTCTTCACGAATGGAAGGATGTAGGAATACTAACGGTAAAAGTATGGCTGCTGCTGCGCGCTGACCACTTCGGGGGGGTTCAAGGACAGCCCGGGTTTGTTGGAATCGACTCGCCGCGTCGTGCGTTCCGCACGCGGCGCACTACCGCCGGTCCCCAAGAGATGCACGGGGACCTCTTTTATAAGCCGCGTCCGCAGGGAACGACGGCAGGACTCGTTATCGCGCTCCGATAATAATCGACGGACACGCACTGGGGATGCACCGGTAGATAAAAGAAGGAGCGTGAGGGGGGGTTACTTGATTTCTGAGAGATAGCAAACGTTTCGTTGTTCAAAACGACAGATATTTTGTTCTTAAAACGTGCAACGTTTTAAGGACACTGAAATTATAAGTTCATTTAAGAAATATCGAGAACTCCATTTATAAAAAAATATAATTTCGAAAATTTTATTACTTTTTTATTCGAAAGATTTGTTTTATTCCTAATAAGATATGGAATGAATTACACGGGGCGTCGAAGAGAGAACAACCGTTGCTTGATCTTATAATTTGGTTTCTCTTGATTTTTAAAAGAGTAAGGAACTTCTTTTAATATAATTATATGTAACACATATCTGATTTCCTATAATTAATTTTATTAATTAATTTTATTAAGATCTTCTTATTAATTTTAATAATTTTTATTTTTTTCTTGTCAAATTTGTAATTCATCAATTTTATTAGATAAAATTTTGAGGAGTCATTTATTAAGCAATAAATGTTATTTAATATAAGAAGCCATATATATAATTGGAGAAAATAACATAAAATAACGTTAGTATCGATCAAGAAAATAAAACGCACATAAAAATGCAGGTGATTAAAGTCGTGATGCAATGTGAAACGGGCATGAGTACAAACATTTCTCCTATCTTAATTGAAAATGAGATCACGCTGTTTCTTGGAAAATCAATATCTCATGCTGCGAATTTACGTTTATATATTCAATAATAATGTAAATCATGTTTTAAGATATCTTTATGACATTTTTGTATTGTCGATAATCCGAAAGTTCTCTTATCAACGATAATAAAATATATATTGATAAATTCTACACTCGAAATACAATATGAATGTATAACTAAAAAGATAGTATCACAAATGAAAGAAAGTCATTAAAAATATTATCTCCAACAATGTATTACAACAATTTTATATATGTCTCTTTTTTATTTTGTTCTAATTATCAAATAAACAATATAATTAAAAAATAATAAATGTGGAAACATATTTTATTAATTGAAATATTTTATTATTCTTGTTTTTGACGTTCTTTTAACTCGATGATGATAAAACTTTCAAGCAAAGTTGCACACTTTCTATTAAATAATATGGTAAATCATGACTATTTAATTAATTTAAACGTAAGTAATTAAAACGCACACGTTTGTTAGAGCAAATTGACATAGAGACGTGAATTAATCAACGACAACAAAGTCGAAGGATCGAACCTTGACTTGACCATCGCGAGGTGGTGTAATGCGAAACTGCTTCCGCTGTTTCTCTGGTTCCTTATAAGACTCGAAGAATTTGAATTTGTTTGAAATTTCCGATGTTTCTACATGGACCTCCTCAGTTGTGTCTGAGCTGCGCACCACATCGTCTGAGACTTGACGACCCATGAATACCTTTCTCGTAAATGTTTCGGAAATTATTATTACTAAACGTATTACTGATATGATGTAAAAGCGAGCATTTTGCGAGCATTTTCATACATCTCTTCTTCAAAAACGAGTTGTCCCAAACGAGATTTTTTCAACTATTGCTTTAAATATCATATTAAATGATATTATGTAATAGACAATATGAGAGTTTATATATGATAAAAAGATTTCCAAAAAATTGTCGAATAAAAATTAAAGTAAAATTAAATAAACTAGTATTTAAGTATAATAAAAAGGTAACTTATATAATAATTTTGTGGAATTAATATTTCCCAAATCACGAATGAATAATAAACTGTATATAAAAGGTTGATGTTTTATTTTCCTAGTTTTAACAAATGAATTAAAGTTTCAAAAATATAAAAAATGAATTGCAAACTCAGCTTGAATAAATATCTATATATATAACACATGAGAGAGATTGAACTTACGTCCCGTGCACGTCGTGAGGTTTCGGTTGGCGTTTTTGGATGCACTGGCGTCACTGGACGTCCTGTTTTCGCTGCAGTGGCGTCCAGTTCCAAAAAGAGCGACCGCGACTTCCTGCTGATACCTGTATAACGTGACCAACATAGATTATCATAAATCACTCGTAACTTTAAACTGTCAATTAGCATCGCTAATACTTTCACTCTGCGCAATTCGTCAACTCATAACGGTCCATTTCTGTTCGGAACAAAGAGAATATTTTTTATATAAAGCCGCTGAATAATAATATGACCTGTTAACACAGTCTTCTATTCTGTAGAGAGTTTTTACGCGGAACGTCTAGAATATTAAAGAATACTAGGTTGCTTTCTTCCGAGTTTTTTCTCAAAGAAGTTCTTCATCGATGTGTGAACAGGTGCAGATATTAATATCCAAGATCTTTAAGAACCAATAATCATTAATATAAAAATTACTAAGTGCCTTTATCGGAAATTGCGAGTAACTGCTTATAATTTCAAAGTGCGAAACGATACAAGCTACAAAGACATTTGTTATATTTTTCAACACTGATTTTCATTACACGCATTTTCCGTCGTAATTCTTCTCCATTCCTGTGTTTGTAATGAATCAGTTTCTGTAATCGTAGTAAATCAAATGTTTGATCAAACATTTCGTCAGTCTGATTTGAGTGATCATCTTAGCGTTTATCTCTTTTCGCAATTCTAGTCTTCGTAACTCGCAAGTCACTTAATTGCTGAAAGTCCAATTCATACCTGCTGCGATCACCTCTTCATCGGCTTTCTCCGGTTTTGGTTTACTGTCGGTTTCGTCGTCCGAGGCTGCGATTGGCTCACCTCGTTCGAATCTCTCTTTGAGGGAGCGAGCGTGGGCAGTCGAGTGCTGGATCTCCTCTGCTGCGTTTATCTTTGTAACGCGGTCACTTCCAGCTACTGCTTGTTGATACATTTCCTTCATCTTACCTTGTTTGCCCTACAAAATAAAGAAAAAAAGGAAATTAATAGTACATTACTCAACGCGATGTAAAAAAACCCATATTTTCCATGTTTAAAGGACAGATTTCTCTGAGAAAGAAATTTAAGAACACAAACTTGCGAAAGAATGAGTACAACTCTCTAGCTCTTTACATATTATATATGTAATATTTTATGTGTATATTATGTGTATATGACGATAATAAAAAAAGCTAGTTTAACGTTAAAACTATCAGTATAATTAGCTAGTAATAACATTAAACTAAGAAAATTGCATAATTTTTTTCTTATTCACAACAAAGTTCACAATTTATCCTTATATTTTTTCTATAATAATAAATTACCAAGAACAATCGTGAACGAATTCCTGCGATTTCTTCCTTTCTAGCTTCGCGCTGAACCTCACGCCTTCCTTGTTGGCTTGTGGTCTCCCAGCGATTTTTGATGTCGTCCATCTTCGAAAAACTGATCGGTCGTTCACGTGTGGTGCGTTTTGACTTGACGATTTCAGTTTCTACTTCTAAAATGCAAAAAAAAAGAAAGAATACGATTGCATTTAACATATAAAAAAAGAACTATCAGTATAAGATTATACTATACTAAATTTAAAGCGAGAAATTTTATATTCGACAAATCTAATAAAGCAGATTTTTATTGTACATTTTCTTTTTATATTATTAATAGCTTTTGATTAATCTTACCCTCGGTTTCCTCTGCCTCTGCTTCGTCCTCACTTTCGCTGGACTCCTCGTACGGTATGCCATTGAGAGATTCATCAGCTACACCAATATCCATACCTTTCGCTTGAAATCTAAATGAGAAGACATGTACAGTAGTTATAGACACGAACGAATTATCAACCGCTTGTAATATATTTATTTACTCTGTTTTCTCGAGTGTCAAGTAACAGGTAAAGGATATTGTTGACTGTTAGATACTACGAAAACTTTACTCATACATATTATATCTTAATCTGCAGACGAAGCAGATTAATAAAATTTTCAGCAACAAGATTATATATTTAACTTAATAATTGTCATGAGAAAAATCTAAATGTAATTGTTATGATGTAAATCCCAAACATTTTTTAAAACGTTTATACTTTAATAAATATTAATCAAAATACAAAATATTCTATTTATACAAGTGACTAAAAATAATTTTGCGAATATCATTTTTTTAATTTTCTTGTAAATTTTAATCATGCATTTGCATTATTATTCTATTCTTTCAACTAAAAAGTTAACAGAATGAAAAATAATACCGCAAGTCTCTCGATTATCGAGAAATGCCAATCCGACGAAATTAGAGACTTATTACGGTGCGTCTTTTCTGCAGAAGTAAATCTATGTCATGATAGGATATCGCGTTTGAGAACATCGCTACTTGCGAATGGAGTCACATATTATAAAAAAATAATAAATTTTGATTTTAACTTAAGTAATAGATATTTTTCCGGCACAAAAGCTTCAATTTTTACATATATTATAAATGCATAGAATTTTTATTATAATAATTTATATTGCAAAAAATATCTTATATGAAATTTGTTATTGATTACTCACTTGGCCAGTTTGCTGAGAATGCTGGGTGATCTCTTTACGGCGATCTGTGACGGTGATCGCTCGATCTCATTGGCGTTCTCCGTACTAGCTTTCTCGAAGACTTGGAAGCGCGACTTGACGTTCAGACTGGAGAGTTCCTCGAGTCCCAAGTCGGGTTTGTCGGAAGCTGAAATTCAGAAGGAGATCTTCTTATTTCTCTCTTCGCTTATTTCTCTCCCGTCGCTGTTCAAACATTTCAACACCTTCTTTCTTTCTGTCTCGAGTGATAAACTTGTTAGACCACTCGAGAACGGCAATTCATGGAAGAAGCAAGGTTGACACATGAAAATTCTGAAAAACGTCAAAGATAACGAAAAGAGCCTCGTTAAAAAGACTCGTCCATCAGGAAGCGAGAGAATTAAATCGATCTTCCTGATATGATAGCTCAAGTTAAACACGAGTTCACGGCATTCGGTTTCAAACATCGATCACGTTACGACTCGTACAAATTTCTTACATTCTTCCCATAGACATCGCGTCACATATCACTGCGATGAGATATCATTCGGCTACTCATTTCGCTCCCGTGATCTATCGGTATATCATATGTACAATAATACAATAAATGTAATAGATTTTTTTATATATAAATAATGTCGTGTATGAATCAATAGATGTTTGTACATCTCACGCAAATGAGAAATTTATAGTAGCATCTGTCTCTTCATTATTCAATTTCTCAGTAATTTTGCAGACTATACTTTATACTTTACTTATACTTTATCATGTACAATTCTCTATGTTTAACAATACATCTTTTAAAGAGACGAGGAAAACACATATGCAAGCACATAAAATATATCGAAATATACTAAAGGTGATTCTAAATGCATAGAGAATGTTAAAAGTATTATCACTAATCGAATAATTATTATTATTGACTATTACTTTTTCATGCAGACAACAAATTAATTTCAATTAGTCCGAGGTTGGAATTATATATACAAATTACTTCATAATTCTGTGGAATGTGCATCGATAACTCATAACGCTTCATAAGCTTCCCGAGAAAAACATGCCGACTAATAAAACGTTCGGCATCAATAATGATTTACGTTTTATTAACCGGCAAGCCGATGCGGGACGCGATTGACGCACAGATAAATTTTCGATTCAGCAGCCAATCAATGGTTAAAAAGCCGCTCGCCAAAACGGACACACTGAGAGTTAGGAGCAATCGGTAGAGATCGCGTTCCACACGCCACTCACACACGTCGAACGTTGCTGTTTATCGTTACCTCTGACCACATCGGGCGGCAACTCTTTCGGCTCGTTCTCCCGTATGATCAGCTCCGGCTTTCGAGGTCGCACTGCGAAGTTCACAAGACACAACTCTTTGTCGCATTAACGATACCTCTCATTCTTTCCGCGCGCGCGGACGCTCGCGTGCAATTATTGCGAGAAGAAGAAGAGAAGAGAACTGTAATTCTAGCCCTAAGAGCTTAACAAAGTGGGTCTCGAACGACCCACCGATGGCATTCGGGTTCCCTATATTATGTCGGCACATTAAAACAGTATTACACTGTACCTAAATTCCTCATGCTCTATTGTCTTCATTACAAACGTAGAGAATGCTGAGCCATATTTCTTACTATTATCTCTGCATCATGAATGCAATCTCGTTTCTAATTGTTCTAATTGTTATATATTCATCCTCTGACATATATGTACACGTATCGTGTGTTGTTCGTTCTTAAAGCAAAATAAGAGACACACGAATTATCTGCGACGAGAATAGTTGGAATTATTTAAGCACGCTGCTAATCTAGGGTTGCCATCCTCTTTTTCCCGGACACTGTCCTCTTTTTTAGGGCGTCCGGGGACGTCCGGAGGGATTTTTTGAAAGTGTCCGGGATAATTATAAGCGTCCGGGGATGTTATATTTCAAGAAATCTTCTAAATATTTTGTTTTGATTCCTCTCGCATTATTTTGCATTACCAAATAGCACAGATATCACATAAAAGAATTAAACTTTTTTAATTTTAATATCTAATAAACTTAAACTAAACCTATAATAAAACTTTTTATTTTAAATCAAAATAGTCTGTATTTATTTAGTATTCAGTTCAAATTTCTCTTTGCTCTGAATGCTAATAAACAATTAGATGTGAAATAATGATTCATTTATTGTTCTGAGCAATTTTATTAATTTAAGCGCATTTTTGTCCGGGGTTGCAACCGAAATGTCCGGAGTTTTTGGCTTGTAAGTCCTAGTTTTGAAAATTTTAATATGGTAACCCTACGCTAATCGAGACGCAAAAAAAATTTATGATCAACGACGAAAGACCAAACTTGATCTCTTCCCATCAAAGCACATGCATATTTGTGCATGTTTGTACACGTTTACGTCCCTTTAATATGCTTCGATCGAGAGTTGAAGCGCGCTTTGTTCGCAAAGTTCATCCCGACCGAGAGATTAGCGGCAAGATGGAGCCGGCTGGTGGAATCAACGTCGGCCGTTTAAGCGTCCGCGTTAAGATTTAACGAGTAATTCACAAAGACGATCCGTTTAAGCAGATTAGCGGCTGCGCCGGTATACTACGTACGCTGGTATTGCGCGAGACGGTAATCATCTTACCGGGCTGGTCGGACTCCTCGACCGGTTTCGGTTGGAAGAGCTCTTTGAAGTGTGGCTTACAGTAGAGCGTGCTCTCGTGGCTCTCATAATTGTCTACGTTGAGCTGCTTGCTGCACTGCACGCACCGGAAGCAATTCTTGTGCCAGACCAGACCCTCGGCCTTTGTCTGTTCCATTTGGAAAACGACCTTGCCGCAGCTGCGACAATTCGTATTCGCATCGGCATTCTGGCCCACCTGCAACGCACCAATGCGCCAATTAATTAGCACCTTCGCGACTTTCACTCTTCTTCTCTACGAGGGAAGCGACCGGATGACGTTAGATCCTGCCTTGGTTAAATATATGCGTACCGAAGTGTAATATGTTCTTAAGAAATAATGAACTCAGGTCAATTTTAATCCACAAAGATGAAAGATTTGGTGTTTGTTGATTTTTCTTTTTTTTTTAAGCAGCAATTTTGTTAACGTTAAAATATTTAGAGTAAAAAAATTTTTCTAAATTCATTTATTTTTACAAATTAATTATAAATTATGATTATTAAAATTCCTGGATCACTAGATCTAGATCTCTACAGCCATTTTGAATTATAATGTCAGAAGTAAAAAAACATGATGAAAATTACTAAAAAAATTTTTTTTTACTATTTTACTATTTACTAAAAAAATTAATAAAATAGTTTTTCGATAATATAATGTTTTCACTCAATAACAGATTTTTAAAATATGCCAAAAATTCTTTTTTTGTTTCATTAATCAATAATTAATTATATCTAGAATTGAATTATAGCTTCCTTTTTGATCAACTCTCTTCTTACAATTTATTTTTGAAATATATGGTTATTTATTGATTATCGAAGCAAAAGAAGAATTTTCAATATATTTTATAAGTCTATTCTATCGAGTACAAACATTGTTTTATCAAAAAACATTTTTATTTTAACGTATTGTAATGTTTTACAAGAGTTTTCATCATGTGTTTTCTCGTTTCTTTGTGTTATAATTTAAGTGTGTTATAATTAAGTGTAGTGAATCAGCAGAAGCCATAAGTGAACATTGTAATGACAAATGCTTCAAGTTTTATATAAAATAAATAATAAAAAACTTACGGCGTTCAGTTGCTGTTGAACCTTTCCCGCGTCGACCGAACGCACGTGTAAAACTGTCTTCTTGGAAAGAGCATCAAATTTGTTAAAGCTCGATTTCTGCAAGTATAAACGGCGATAACATCAGATAATAAATATCAAGAGTAAAAAAATTTAGAAAGGAGAAAAGAAAGAAAAAAAAGAAGATGCAGAAAAAAACGTTCCACAGGCAGCCTTCTTCTAACATTAATATGGAGCAAAAGAATTATAATTCTTCTGCAACCCTTCATTGTTTTTAAAATAACATGTAAAGAGAAACAGTCAGAGAGGGAAAAGAATAAGCAAATTCAAAATAGTTACCGTCGTGCAAAAATGAAAATTGTATGTATAAAATTGTTAAGTGGTTAAAGATCATTTAGATATACAATTGAAATATTTTATTCATAATTATTTAAAAAAAAAATCATTTTATGTATCAAAAGAAGGCAATATTATTATATAACCATATGATATCACAATATCGTAAATTCCACTTCTATCCGTGAAAATTCCGTTTCTTTATTTGCACGAGAGTGACATCTAGCTTCTAAGGACATCGTACAAAGGTCTGAAAACAGACAAAATCCATCGCAAGCTAAGAAAGCGAAGCGTAGATTTCAATCTCTTTCCGAGAGCAATAAAAAGCGACAAAAAGACAAAAGGAAGAATTCGGGTCAAACCTCTGTACGAACCGACTTTATAACATTTATCTGTCTCTTCCTTGTCAGAATCTTACCTCGAGCTTCGGCTTCTCGCATGCTCGATCCTTGTCCTTACCCTCGCTTGTTAAGCTTGCCAAACTACAATAGGAAGCCCTCTGTTCCCCCGGAATGTTCGATTTCAGTCAGGATTGTCAATTTAGGATTTCGCATGCCGGGAGGAGGTGTAGCGACGCGCAACAAATGAGAAGAAAATGGGCCATGGGTTAGTACAATTTTTGGCATAAAAAAAAAATAAACACGCGGGTAAACACGAGACACGGTAAAACAAGTACTATATCTCGGGATGCAGCAATTAGCGAGCTCGCGACATTCCATGATTACGGTGCAGTCGGACGACGCGGCCGGAAATTTCAAAGTCGCATCCCCTCGCGCGGTTGAGAACAAGCATGCGTTCTCGGAGGTGCCTCAGGTTAATATTTACTTTCGAAAGTAGTAATTTGTTTCTTTTTTCAAGGCTGCATTCTTCTGTACGTTCTTCTGTACGATAAAAGGTATAATGCATCGCATTCTTGAAGGCGATTTTGTACGAAGAATCGTCGGTCGGTGTCGTCTTTAGCGGTGCGATATTAAAAATATACACGAAGCAGCATTGCTAATCGGTTTTCCTCTAATGCAATTGAATATTCGCATTCGCAGCCCGTTTTGCATGTTGAATTATTTATGACTTGTTGTAAAGAGGCTTCAGAAAAAAAGAAATCTTTTTTAACGTGGGAGCAAGAAAGTACGCTACTTTTGGCTCGCATGGCATACGCGCGAGGCGTTTTAATCGCTGATCGAGGCTTTGCCAATTGCTGCATCAGGCGACCAAGGGAAAGGGGAAGAAACAAAACGAACGGACAAAGGACAACATTGGAAGTAGCACGGAATTATCCATTGAATCGCACTTGACGATCATTTCACGTCACGAATTCACACTTTATCTCGAATTAACTTTCGGCGCCGTCACACGCTATCAGATACATCGAGACGCATTCTTTAGCGATACGATCGTAAATATGATCTGTAGAACGATCTTTTAACGCAAATATTACGTTAAGGTGATATTTCTATGCACGATGTTAACAGTCAAGTTATCAAATTACGCTTTTCTTTCAGAATAGAAAAAAGGTTTGATCAAACATCAACTGCGTGATTTTCAGATAAGATTGAAGCAAAACTCATTCATGTTAAAATAGAAAGTATCGCATTTTAAATTGCCGTTATTGTGCACTTTAATAGTCTATTTTTGCCTATTACTATTACGTGTTTTTCCTTCGTTTTAAAAACAACGATAATTAGTTTATGTCAATGTTGTGTAACAAAAGGCAGCTTTGCAATGTTCAAGCTTGCAATGTTTCAAGCGTGTCTTGGTCGTGGTCTTGACTCGTTAATTCGCAACTCGCGAAGAAGTTTGGCCCGCTTTTCCCGCTTCTTTTGCCACGCGTTCGAATTCGCGACGGAAAGTGCGAAGAAGCGTATGAAATTTCAATGTAGAGACATGTAGTATCTCAGACCGCGTCCTTCGCAGGAAGCGAAATCACAGAAGTCGAAATCCCGATAACCGCGTGACCGATAATTCCGAGATAAAAACTCGTAATCGACATCCGGACCTCGCATTTCCCCGTAATCGGTTGAAGTAGGGCAAATAAGTAGTCTGTTATTATCAAGTCGGCCCTTCCATAAATGGAGAGACGGCATTCGCGGCGTGACGGTGAACTACTCCGGCGTGCGTGCGAGTTCTCGGAGTGCGTAGCGGTGTACTTGACCGTGCGTTTATTCCGCAGAATGTTATCCGAATAATTTCATCGAGCTCCCCCTTTACGTTCCGTATTAAATTTTTTTCAAAGATAAAGACTTGTGCCTTCGATCGACGAATCGATTATTATTATTATTACGGGGATAATCGGTAATGCAGACGCGGTATAAATAAATACGCGCTGGTGAAACGCAATGCGCTTCAAAACGTGCATATATTCAAAGCTTGCTTATATTCGCAATTAATGCAAGCGCGGTAAATGCATAATCGGCCGCCTCCAGGTATCGTAGGATAGAACAATTACACGCCCACCGCGAGAGGTTCTATAGATCGTTGCCCGCGAGTAGAAATTGCCGATCGCAAACTTTGATGAAAATTCTAGTTTTATTAGTCCACACTCGCGTTCTATCTAACGTTATTCTACCGCTTGACTGACTTCAATGTTGTCCGTGCCGTTTACGAGAGGTACTTACGAGGGCCTTGACCGACACCCTGGCGAAGACGGGTGCGTCTCTGGTGAACCGCGAATAACCCTGCTCGCATACTCTCAGATCACCCATCGATCTCGCCTTCTATGATCGGGGCGAAAGCGTCAACGAGAATACAAATTAACGGTGAGCCGTTTCAAGAGACGCGAGCTCTGTGAAATATTGATCGCAAGCGATAACGGAATCGTCTTATCAAAACAATGATTCGATAATCGATTCTAGAGATAAAAAGTTGTTAATAACAAATTTTTTTCTAAAAAATTGCCAATAAACCTTCCATACTGTGTGTAACTTTTTAAACTTCATATATAATATTTCAGGTTGAACAACGACGTTCTTTCATTATTTGATTATTAAATAAAATAATAAAATTATATCTTTTTGAAAAGAAATTTTATTATCTCACGTAAAAAATACTGTTTAAAAAAAAGTATAATAAGCAATTCGTGTCACAGAACTCGCGCTCCAAATGCGATTAGTAGACTATTAGGATGTTTAAACGTTTAAAATTTATATAGCACAGTCGACACATTATAAAGCAAATGTCGAAAGTGGCTCATGCAACAACAAAGGTTAGATAATGCATTTGCATTCCTATCGTATATGCTACGAATTAATTTGCAACATCGTTAATAAGCATTCGCATGCTTGCAAATTTTATAATTTGTAGATAGTAATTAATCCTTCTTTATCAAAAAATCGCGAATAAATGAAAAAATATTATTAAGTTTATTTATACAAATATTTATCGAAAAAATGAGGCCTCTGCTTTACAAGATAACACATCATAAATCTTCTTTCTTTTAAAAAAATTTCATCATTTTTTGGCGCAATATAATATAATTTCAAAAATTGCTATCTCAAATGCATTTCTAATTTAAATAAAAAAAATAGACATTAGCCAAAATTTGCATAATTATTATGACATAATTTTCAATTATATCGACTTAGACAAAACGAATATGAGACATGAGACGTAATGCATGTGTGTTTATATAAATTAGTATAATATACAAACCTCCTCAGTTTCCATCGCGTGGCTCGCTTTCCCAAAAGTCGCCTGATCGCCGTCGCTCATGTTCGAGATGTCGCCAAAGCTGCGACACTGTTAGTGACAAAATATGTATCTGACCAATATGTATCAGCTAATTAACGAAGCATATGCGTTGAAAGCGTAACATTATTATTATTATTATTATTATTATTATTATTATTATTATTATTATTATTATTATTATTAGATTGGTATTTTATCGATCGAAAGAAAGGAGGCCTTTCCAATTTTACGAGGAAAGACTACGACGAAGTAATTGACGACACTATCTCGCGTGTCTTCTTCACGTGTCTTGTTTCACTGCAAACGCGATCGAGTCCGCTACATGGTCATTACTTACTAATTGCTTGATGGATACGCCGGTCGCAATCCGTTCCCTGCATAACTTCTCTTGATCGCTACGACTTGTCTCCGAGACATAGTTCTGTGTCTGCATGCGCAAAAAGAAGAAGAACAAAATGCAGGCGGGTCAGTACGCAATGACGCATGCAATGACGTGGACGGCTACATTCAGGGCATTTCTACGACGCCTTCCGCAATCGCGAAATTACAATTACGCAAAGCGTAACTTTTGCGGAACATTTATCTTACTTGATTACATGTTAATAACAATCACACGTGTAATTCCGTACCGATTTGCCTCAACAGCGAGAATATACCTTTTCTCTTCGTGAAAATAATTCAAGATATGCCCCGTCATGTCAACTCGTTACGCTTACGCTCGCGTAAAAGCGCGAATTTTAGCGTTCGCTGAATCACGCGTGACGGCAAAGTTACGCACGCAATTCTCGAAAGTGACAACGTCACTTCTTCAGCGAATTTAATCAAACGGCAAGTCGCCCAGGTAACTTTTAATTGCTTAATGGAGTGATCGTACGCCGATTGCGCCTGCCGCTAATTATTTAGAGCCGTGTTAGCCGTTATCTCCGAAATTGCATCTCAGTAGATCACGAGGTGAACGGCCGCGGGACCGATAAATCTCATGTGTTCATCTCGTTGACGAGGGAAGCTAGAAAATGGTACTTGCGTCTCGCGCGAACGCATAACGTAATATGAAACAGCTCGTCGCTGGGAAACAGCTATGCCGAGAAAAATGAAGAAAACTAAGAGAAAAAGGAATGCTTGAGAATACAAGGCGTTCCGCAAGATCTACATTAAATGTCAGAGGTGCACTCAGCATGACGAATTCTATATCGACTTTCTGTTTACGATAATTCAAACGTGAGGTATTTTTGTCTGGAAGATTAATTTCCAGGGCACGTGATATTAATAAAAAAAATTTGATTAAGACTCATGAGGGTTAAGGATTAAATAATATCCTATCTAATTTTGTTAGAGTGTACTCTACTCGCGGTTAGTTCTCAGATACGTACGCTTCAGCGTAACTTACCAGTGACTTAACATTGACGTTCGATAAATCGTCCTCATCGGAAAAATCGATCATCTCCGAATGCGATCGCCGAGTGCCCGTATGCATGCTTGCGTCTTGTAAGCTACAGTTCTGATGGAAAAACAAAAGAAACACGAACACACTGAGCATGCAACTGCATGAGAGATTAATAAGCTGCGTCTACGCTAACGTGCGCCGAGTCGTTAAGTCGCGTACGATAATCAAAGGCAGAAATAATTATCATACACTTCATGTCAATCCCGCGTTTCGTTTACGGCGCATAATCCGATCTTAAGAAATATCGAAGAAGTATATAATATTTTTTTCGAATTTCTTCCGTTCATAGATTTCTTAATCGATGTTTATCTAAAGAGATCATTTCTTCGCATAGGAAAAAATTAATCTTACATCAAGACGAATTCTCATATATAAGCAAGAATATTATAATTTTCTTCAGGAATATTTTAATCTTGATAATTTGATTGAGTTTGTATTGATTCAAGTATAGATATTTTCATATATAAGCAAAAATATTATAATTTTTACAAAGAAGATTTTTAATCTTGACTTGGGCAAAACTGATATTTGCATCAATATAAATTCAATCAAATCGAGACTAAAATTTTTAAGAAAAAATTATAATATCCTTACGTTTATATATGAGAACATTTGTCTTGATTTAAATGATTAATTTTCAACGCGGCGAATTTAATAGTATCAAATAGTAAGCCATCTAAGTAACTTTTAATTGCTCGATGGAATAATTGCACGCCAACTGCGCCTACCGCTAATTGTTTATCAGGTTATATATCATTATATATGTATCAGGTTTCATTTTCTTTACATAAATATAAATAGTTCGCTATGCAATTTTGTCTGCACAGATGTCCACGCATAATTAAATGATATTATACGAAAATGAGTTTATATACGGCATATCTTAAACATAATTTATCTTTACGCAATAAAAAATTAATATTTCCTGCAAAAAAATATCGATATAAATCGATATAAATATGATAATAATAATAAATATGATAATGATAATATTCTCAATGTTGATTTTCTTTATTTAGTCAATCGAAAAATGTTAAATATATTATCTGAAAAAATAATTAATTTCTGCATAATATCATCCAATTACTTTTTTCTACGGACGCATCATGCAAAACAATTCTCGGGAAGGAAGTAAAAGCTTCACTGCAGCTTAGCTGTAACTGGAGCAAAGGATGAACCGTGAAAAAGGAACGTCGCGATCTCGATCGATATCATCTGTGCTCTACTTAGTAGTACTTCGATATCGGTCGCGATCGCGTATCAAATCCCCAATTTCGAGAAGAGCGACAGCCAGTAGAAAACTCGTTCCTATCTGTGCCGACGAAATCCGGAAAAGCCGGCGGGCCGGCGCATGCAGATGAGATATCAAAAGCGTGAGCTTCCGGTTTTCACCGGCGCGATCGCGCCGGCGGCAAATTTTACCGAGCAGAGTGATAATTAGCATGATAACGGTTTCGTGCATGCTGATTTCGTATCCGCGCATCTCGCACATGTCGGAGAACCACCCTTAATTATGTCTTCCGAGAGTAGTCGCCGAGCGCCGCGTCGATAATCGACGTTTACTGGATGAAAAATCGCGTTGACGTATATGTGTCTTGTCGTAAATAATACAAAAAAATTAGCACATACGATATAGTCATGTGACACGTACAGGATGTCCCAAAATAATTGTTGATTTTGTTCATTTACCTATTCTTTTTTCGTTTTCAGTGAAAATGGCAATAATAACATATAATAAGGTTTCAATGACGGTTAAACTTCATAAAAGCTCGAGTCTTCGATTAATATCACATGGAGTTTAATTTAACAGAACTTTTCAATTTGATGTCCTATCAAATTTTTATTCAGACAAGAACGACGCTACGACGATTAGAGAGCACGTAGCGGTGAAAGAATAGCTGCGGGACATCCCGTCCACAGACGTGCGCGTCTATCAAAAACGATTTATAACTTACTACAGAGATGTTCTCCTTTTCGAGATCGCTCTTCTTGCTCTTCTTGGTTTTCTTTGTACGTGGCGTAAGGTTTGGCGAGGTGGCATCGTTACCAGCAACGCCTTCGATTTTCTTTTTCTTCGTTTTGGTCCCACCTTTCGAGGAGGTCACCACGGTGGAACTGGTGGTCACCGTTTCCTCGCGGCTCTCGCTCTGTAATGAGGAAAAAATGCATAAACATCTGGAATATTTGAATTAATTTTTATAAACAGCTGGCAGCAAGAACTCTCTTGCGTCTCGACGATTAAAATGGATGCTCGGATGATTTCTCGATGGTCTCTTTCTCATATTAGCACATGGTCTCCCGATAAGGAGTACAGACTCAAAGAAACTAGATTTAGCGTGCGCCATTGTTGAGATGTGTTGCTGAGATTTTCAATGGACTTTATTGCGCACGCCGAGATAGGTGAAACGCGGTCTCTGCGGTCTGACACGGAAGTTTACATTCGCCTAACGAACATGATTTGCAAGCAATAATATCGATTTCATGGCTTTGTAACGTAATATTTCCATCGAATGTAAAAGTACGCGGCAGTGAAAAGAGCAACATTAGTCTGCCCATTACGTCATCTTCGGCTTTTGACATTTCGATCGATTCTTCGTTACGGAAGATTAATCTTCATCGTCTTTTAATGCAAAAAGAATCCTTGCAAAGTCTATTTCCTGTTCGACGCACGTAAAAACGCTCGATTATTAAACCATAATGGGTTAAATGCGCGGAAAATATGAGTTAGATCGACGTGTGTGAGCGTAGAGAGCGTGCCGAAAAAGTAATAAATTAAATTGCTTGGTTTTTATTAGCTGCGCGGTCAATAAAGATTTCGACAATTTCACAGTGGAGTAAAAATTGAGGAATTGATTTTCCGCGTTACGAAACAGATCGTAGTTTCAACATCCCTTCTGACACATTGCGCAGTTTGTTTCCATTTCATTTCCGATCAATCAGATTCATTCTTGTCAGCCGAGACGTACGTGAGCGTGCATAACGCGATCATCCGCACGTTAGAAAGGCAAAATTTGAGACGGAATATTTGTCTAATCGCACGATTTCACCCGCGAGCGGAACTAGTCCGATATCGCACGCTGCAATTAAAACATCGTTTGCCTACGTGATTCTGGGTTCGACTCATAATTGTCCAGCTAGTAATAACACAAGCCTCGCATTTACGATAACGGAATAATGAGGTAACGGAATAATTACCGAGAAAACTATGCGAGACGCGAAAGTCAATCAAAAATATAGAGGATTATATCCACCAAGTCCGAATTCCAAATCGTAGAGGTGAAAAACATGTTTTTTTCATGTTCTTTTCGTAAAACACGGCGATTTAAAATATGAAAATAACGCAGCTTATTTCGAACGTGAGTATCGGAGACGACTGATAAGAGCGGCAAGTTTTCATGGCCTCAACGATTTATGCGCGATGGCGTAATTGCTCGACAGGTATGGCCGTCCGACAAGGAAGATTTCCGATAAGCCGCGCGCATGGAAAGCAATATTCCGGAACGGAATATGAGCTACGCGAGCATAGCATAATGCACGATGCATAATGTGCACCGACGCAATCTCGACCGTGTTTGGCTATTAATTACCCAACGTTGAAAAATCGACACGACGCGACTACATCGTAACGAACGTTCGTTTACTTTGCTTGAACATCGATCAATCATATCCTATATGGCCGCGATGCACCAAGATACACTGCATTTTAGTAAAAAGTTGTTTACATTTCGAAATGTAAATAATAATTAGGAGAAATATGAAAGCCGAATATATAGAATAATTTTTATGTAGAATATTCTAAATTAGTTAAAGAATATATGTTATAAGTCGACGTGATTTTTCTCAGTCAGATTCTAAATGTTTGCTACTTTAATACTTAATAATAAAGAAATTTAAGACTTTTTTGAGAAAAATAGCATGAAATATGCTGTGCAAATCGACACTTGAGAATAATCCTGGCACACTTCCCAATCCTCTTTCAAGGTCCTTCCGAACAATTGGAGCTCGTAACAATTTCCCGGCAACAGTTTACGGTACCTTAACGTCTACTCATACTTATACACTTTCTATTCCAAGCACAAAAGTGAAGTTTGTGTCTAGGCTATCTCGATTCGTCTCGTCCCGTGGAACCGGAAGACCGTCGCTTCCGATATTCTACGGTACCCACCGAGAACTTTCTCGCGAACAATTCTCAATCTCGATCACATTCACTCACCAACAACTTGTATCACCCCAAACACATAGTCCGGATTTTATCCTTCAGATTTATCCGACGCTAGTCCGAGCAGCTTCTAGCACCAACACTGGCCACGCACTCAGAATGACGAACGCGCGTCCACCTTGGCAACGGGGTCGACGAAAGACGACGAAGGCCAGAAGAAGAAAGAAAGAGCCGCCAGAGCTGGGCTTGAAGCGCAAACGAGATGGTCGCCGATCGAAGCGAGAGTGGGAGCACAGTATAGAGAGAGAGAGAGAGAGAGAGAGAGAGAGAGAGAGAGAGAGAGAGAGAGAGAAGAAGAAGAG